CTTGCTTTGACAGAAGGCCTTGGTTGCTGGAGTGGAGAGTGCGTGGAGGGGAGTGGAGCGAGATGAGAGGGGAGAGGCAGGGGAGTGTGTGGAGGGGAGTGGAGTGAGAGGCAGGAGAGAGTGTGGAGGGGAGTGGAGTGAGATGAGAGGGGAGAGGCAGAAGAGTGTGTGGAGGGGAGTGGAGCGAGATGAGAGGGGAGAGGTAGGAGAGTGCGTGGAGGGGAGTAGAGTGAGATGAGAGGGAGCAGAGTGCGTGGAGGGGAGGGGTAGGCAGGCGCTTTGTCCGTTGTTATTTTTGCCCTCAATGTATTTATTTGTTGTAATACTTGGCGTCATCTTTATCTTCAGTCATTATCTTTGCTTGTTTTGATAATAATTGGCTCGGACAGCCTTGTGCCGTTGTTATCTAAGACCCGTGCGCGCGCGCGTGTGCGTGTGTGCGTACACGATCGTTGATGTCCTTGCGGTTTGTATTCCCCTGGCCACGACGTGAGATGTTGATCCACGTTTCCCCGGCACGAGCCGAGCTGGCCCAGCGCTGGCCCCTGCCGTGAGCGAGATCGTTGACAGCCCGGAGAAATCTAAAAACAACACGGTGAATAGAAAAAAAACACGGTGCTTCGTGAGCACGGGAGACACGCAATGCACAGTGGATGTTTTGACAGCAGGTAGCGATTCAGGCTCACGGGTTTGATTCGAGGATTCATTCTCATTTAACAATTCTGGTGAGTGTCGCGGACAAAGTTTGAGTCTCAAAATTCAGATTTTAAAGATTCTGACTTGCGGCTGCAGGGGTCACGCGGGCCATTGCCTTGGTGCACGATACGATTCGTGAATTGATCATCGTTGACCCACTGAGTCTCAAGGCTCTTTTCCAGGAGGATCCTGCCAAGTAGGAGGCAATGCTTGCCGCTGCTGTGTGTGATTCCAATAGAGTAATTTTTCGGGCAACTTTTTCAGCATCGGGACATTTGCGCAAAAATAAATTTGCATTGCATGTTTTGTTTGTTTGTTTTAGCTATGGAAGGAGGAAACCGGAGAAGCCGGAAGAACCCCGCGCAGAAAGGGGGGGGAAGAGAATAACAACCTCCTCACAGAATAGTGCCCGAGTCGGCCATAGACAGAGGTAGAGAAGGAAAGTTACGACCCTCAACTTTAAACAGTGACAGGGAGCCAATGGCACAGATTTCTGGGGGAGTGAGTTCCAGACTGCGGCGGGGGGGGGCAGAAGGTAATGGCTGTTTAGTTTTTGAAAAGCCAAGATATATGTTCCCGGTAGCGAACAGTAACTTTAAAAGATGTTTTCTTGGCTTGTGCGTGCGGGGCCTCGTTATGTAATCTGCACGCGGCACCACGTTGATGGCGCCGCGAACTCTGCCACGGACGGTGACATCGCACCGCCGCCGCCAGGAATTCGCCGGGAATCAGGTCTTTGCGCCCCCAATATTCATCGGGCGCGAGGAGTTAGATACAGATGGGCATCAGAGCCGTGCTGATAAACGATCGCGGCACTCCCCCGCGCGCGCTCGGATAACACGGAGGCGCGTGCGGGCCGCACCGTTCGTAGATTGACGGACAGGCGTGTAGCATGACGCAGGTTTCACAGTCACTGACTAGCTGCCCAATGGCGACTCATGCTCTCTCTGTGCGTGCTTTACTTCGGCACAGAGCCTTAAGAGATTGTCTCTTGCCCCGGCTATGAGATGGAGCACACACAACTCTTCCCACGCACGATCCACGTGCTGTCTCTTGCTAGTGGGTTAATACAGCGGCACGCCGGGTGCTACGCTGCCGCACGTGGATTGTAATCGAGCACTGTGGAGGCAGCAGCGAGGTTTGGTGGTTCAGAAAGATGTTTGTGAAACTCCCTTCCCGTGGGCGTCGAGGAGATGCCATACCCTGGCTCGCCAGGAGAAGGGAGGACAGCAAGTGTGGACTAATCGCCATCTATTTCCATCTGTACGGGCATGGAGCCCCCTCGCGCACGGCGTGGGTTTTCTCCGGGTGCTCCGGTTTCCTCCCACGTGTGTATAATAAACACAAGTCGTCATTGATTGGCTAAAAACCTCTTACAATAAACGTGGCAACAGCACCAGGACCCTCCTGAGTCCTGGGACTGCGTGGCTCTCCTGGATAAATAAATAAATAAATATTGGTATCATGAGGTGGAGTGGTGGTGCAGCGGTTACCACAATGCGCTGTCCAAACTGCGGCGACCCGAGTTTGATTCCCAGCAATGGTCCTTGCGTCCTGCTGCATCCTTCATCGACTCGTGGCGAAGTATGGTCAAACAACCCCTTTGACGGCGACACGACATTGAGAGGCCTTTGGTCGGCAGTGGAGCGACATGGGGCTGTGAATCATTTCCATCCCTAATATAGTTCTCAGTGTTATTCCGTTGGCATCGTGCGAATCTGCAGAGCGTCTGACCCGATTCTCTGTCCGCGATGGTCGCGTTTTGGCAAGCTATATGACTCACAGTAATACTGCCAAGCACTTCTGGGAGGTTCTGTGTTTTGTTAAAAGCTGCATTTTAAAGGTTTCCATATCCGTTCTATTTTGAGGCATGAGCTCAAATATCTCCAATGCGGCCGAGGGTTCACAACCATCACGGCGTAGATCTCAGCAATAGCCAGAGATAAACAGGCTCTGGGTAGGATGAATGAAGGAACAACATTTGAGATGATTGACATTTAAACTATTTGTTCTGGGGCAACCCCAAAAATAACTCCCAATAATCGCGGATGCAGGAGGAAAAGAAAACAAAAGCATTGGGCTCAAACTCTTTCGATCGAGCCACGCTGATTTCTGAATCAAAATCCAAGGGAGTTGTTTTTTTTTTAGACGAGGCCTCTCGTTCCTCGACGAGGCCTCTCGCTTTGGAAAAAGTTCCCCGTGCCCCACCCAGCCGCAGTTGTCGTTGCAGTATTCACAATCGTGTTCGTTTTGGTGTCTTGTCGTGTTACCCACTAAATTAATTTGGCGGGTCTGCCTTTGCACACTGAAGCGAAGGGGGGGGGGGGGGTGGGAAACCTCCAAACCCTCCACGCATCGCAGAGAGGAACAGCGCTGCCGCTGTAGTGAGCGCAACTCAGAGAGGCCTCCAACTCGGAAGGGTCACGGAGCCACAGCAATCCACTGCGCAGCAGACTTGAACCGGCGGTAGAAATTCCACATTCCCGTGATGGGGATGAATCAATCTTAGGTGCCAACTCCTGTTGATATCCCACAGAGTTGTTCTCATTTTGGTGATACTCAGCCACGATGAATCCACTGCTGGAAGGATTATGGTATAAGTACGTAACACGGTGCAAGATGTGTTATTTTCCATATTCTGAAGCTGTTTAAATTTCTGATCGTATCTGGCCAGTGTCTGTAACCAAGTCGCCAGGAATGTGCCTGATTCCATGAGATCTCGGAAACTAAGCAGGTATGCATCTGGATAGCGTTGGGATGGGTGCATAACAGGTGCTGTAGGCTGGCGCAGGTGTTCTACGTGGCAGGCAGCAGGGGACAACGCAGGGCGGTCTGTCGTTGTGCTGTACCTCTGTGCTTCCCGCTTTCAGTAACCAAGCGCGGCGACGTTCGACGCCACAACCAACGGCGATCAGCACGGCGGTTGCGCTTCAGGCCCTCATCCAGAAGTAGATTAGGAAAGGCGGCCGCGTATGCGCGAGCGTGCTCGCTCGCGCATACGCGGCCGCACGCTGAAGCGCTTCGATCGCGCGATCGAAGCGCGGCGGCGGAAGCCGCTCCGGTCGGGGCACGGCACAACCCGCCCCTCAGAGCCCCGCCGGCTCCGGCCTCGTTTATATTCTCCCCTCTCAATTCCCATCTCCGTTCTCCCCTTTTAGCAAAAAACGTCCAGAGCAAAACGCGGGAATTAATAAACAAGCAGCGGTTACGGTCTCATTCTACGTGACTTTACCGAAAGAGCCAAAGAAGATGAATCATTGCAGTCACGAAAGCTTTAAATCGAAATTTAAGCAGCGGTTACTCCGTGGGCAACGTGGCAGCCCGTGTGGGTTGTGCCGTGTCCCGATCCCTGGCCATGCCAGCTGTCAGTCGTGATCCCTGCCTATGGTACAATACACTGCCGGCACAACAACAATAATAATGATGATTAAGTACAGCTGTGTATCAGCCTACTGCTGGATCAAGGCCATCGTGCACAAGAATTGAATTTGCGGTTTGCGGAAACGATTTTCACTTGTCACGCCGCTAGAAGTGGTGGTGGCTGATTGCCGAGGCTAACGAGAAAGCGCACTCCACGGAGGTCGAGCGATGAATTCGGCTCGTTGCAGTGCGGCCAGGGTTGCCACCACTCCTGGCTCATCCTGGGAGATGTGTAGGTTTTCCCGGGCACGTGAGAATCCTTGGTGTTTTGACTGTTGCGTAATAATCCACAGACTCGAGACACAACGCGATTACACGGTGACACATTATTCGGTGGTGCTGTTGCTGCCTCGGCAGTGGTGCACAAACACGAACAGCAACAACGAACTCGACACAATCTTTAAAAATACTGCTGACCCCTCGTGTACTCTGAAGAAGGACCTGTTACATACGTCTCCTTGTAAGGTCGCGGTGTTATTGACGAACGTGTTGAGTGCTACACTTGCTGATCTCGTCAAGGCGCATAAACCATCATCACGTGAACTCTGGTCATCCTCGCACCAGCGGCTTTCGGCTAGCCATCGAACATAGACGGTCACCGCATCGCCCGCGCTTTTCATGTACGCTTCTTGCGGACCGTCTGGAACGCTCTTCCTTTCCGATATTAGGAAGTCACCAGAGCTACGCAATTTTAAATCTTGATTGAAAACCAAGCTCATTAGAACTGTGTTTAGTTTGTTGTCTCCCCGCCCCCCCCCCTCCCCCCCACACACCTCCGATTAGCACGGTGGCTACGTACGGTGCGAAAGAAGTTTAACGTACGTGCGCTGCGTACGGTGTCATTCGTGACGTAGTTCTGCCCGGTATTGCGAGGTGCTCACCGTAACCACAGCCCCCTGCCTGTGTGCCTTGGCGCTGGCGGCGCGCGGTGCAGATGGGTGAGGACGACGTGGAGTGGGACGTGCGGGCAACCCACCCGGACTCCCGAGAGGACTGCCCCTCCCCCAACAGCGCGTTACCCCGGCGCCCGCGTGGACGCCCGGCCAAGAAGAAGTCGAGCGAGCGCAAGCACCAGCAGCAGCAGCAGCAGCACCAGCAGCAGCAGCACCAGCAGCAGCCGCAGCAGCACCAGCATCGTGGAGAGCCGGTGAGTGCGGTGCCTGATGCACAAGTGTGCGTGTCTCTTTGTGTCCGCGTGTGTGTAGCTCACAGGCGCTCGCTTAATAGCACTCGCCCCGACGGTCTGTTAGGGCTACACCGGGGATCTTTGTCTTTGTTGGAGCTCACAACAACGAGCGGCGTGCCGGGCTGCTAAAATACAGCAAGTTGGCACAGTAGGGGGCACAAGGTGGTGCATCTGCCAGTCATCTCAGTCAGCCAACCCATGGCACCTGGGTCTGTCCAGTGATCTCCTGTTAGCGAGCCTTCGATACTTTGCTTGGCCTCGGAGTTGCACCTGGCTTGGCACAAGCGCTGTGATGATGTCACTGACACTTAGTGGTGAATGGCGACTCTTGCTGCTGTTGTTGTAGGTGGGGAGCGGCCGTGTAGCGGTTAGCGCGCTGTACTACGAACCAGATGACCCGAGTTCAACCTCCACTCGCATTGGCGATGAGCACTTTAACCAGCCCTGGGCTTACCCCAAGGTCGGCTCAGCCTTAAATGAGCACCTCGTGCGGTGTGTAAACATCAGCAAGACAAAGGCAGCTGGGCACGGTACTGGCCACACAGCCTCCCACGTGCCGCGTTGTGCTCGCTGGCAGCACTCGCCCGCGCGAGTCTATTCGAGGCAACACGGAGGGTCTTTGCATTTTTCACGTGAAGACGGAAGCGTTTATTTTCTGCAGCGGGGCTGAGCCGAGTGCACCTGCACGGTGGCTCGTGCGTGTTAACCTGCAGGCGATGTAGCTGGTCAGGGAGTGAAAGGCGGTGGGTGGGTGGGTGGGGGGGTGGGGGGGGCGCTGCCGAGGAATGTTAAGCTCTCCGGGTTAGATTTGTTTTAGACCTGCGGAGTTATCTGAAGGGCCAGACGCCCGACAGGTGAACCGCCCGTTCACGTGGCGCTGCGGTGCCAGCGCGTGCCCGAGGGAGTGCTGCTGTCGGTGTGTTTTTTTTTCAATCAATCAACGCCAGGTACCCCGCCGAACTCATCCACCCCCCACCCACACACACACACCCCATTCCCCCCGGACGGCAACATTGCCCCTGGGTTGAGCTGCCTGGCTTTCTCGCACAAAGCGCACCTCGCGGGGGCAGGGTAGCGCAACCCACCGCTGACGTAAGCCCCGCGGACCAGCGGTGGCGCTGGGCGTGGAGCGAACCAAGCAAAAGTTTAGGGCCACAAGCAGCTGAAGGGCGCCCTTGAGCGACTCGGCGAGTGTGCGCACGAGACACAATTGCGAGCGGCGGAAGTTGATGGGAGGCTGAGTCGGTCCCGGGCCGCTCCCGGCCAACGGCAGTGACGATTATCTGTAAACCGGTCCTGGGCCTTCACCACGTGGAATCATCCGCAAATAGCAACCTATAGCGGTGTGTAAACATTGCCACTTGGGAGACAAAGACGGCCGGGCGTGGTGCTGGACACCTACACCTTCGTGTGCCGTGCCGGCCTTCATAGGTGCTGCTGGCTAACAGCACTTGCCCCGACAGTTTGTTAAGGCCGTACGGGGGATCTTTGTGTATCTGTGAAGTGGTTGGCGTGATGCTGCCATCAGTGATAAATGAGCTAACCGATCCTCGGTGCTGCCTTCACTGACCCGTAGTGACCGGCGTGGTGAAGTAAGGTTAAACAACACCCACCAATGGCACTGTGTGCGAAGGGCTTCATCCAGCGGTGGACACAAATTATGATTATGATTATTATACGTGAAGTCTTCAAGCAGAGGTGATTGTCTGGGAAGGCAGAATGCCGGACAAGACGCTTGGGTACACGCTTCATCACGGTATCTTCAGGGGCCATTCCACCCTGATGCATTAATCATAAGGCGCCGTGAGATAAATTGTAAATTAGGAGTTTTCATTGCGATTCGGATTACACAGTAACGAGCGTGTCGTGAACTTAGCCCTAATCACGCTGCTCGCGACTGCTCATTGCAGAGCGTGCACGCGAAAAATGTTTACCCGCGAGCGTCGTGCGTTTAGTGTAACGTTGCCGTCGCGAACACACTCATAGTGATTCACTTTTTTTCCAGGCTGTCCCGCTGACCTTAATCAACGGCGGTTATGTGCACATTGAGTGCAAGCTGTCGCGTGCGCGTGTGTGTTCCCGCGCGTTACCGCATGCCCGCTCGTTTGTTGTGCCCGGCCATGTGGTTCCACGCTCGGTCCAAGCCACAAAAGTGGTTTGGATCGAGGGCTGACCCACTTCTTTTGTGGTTTCAGCGTGCGTGGTCCGATGTCGAAGAATATATTGAAAAAATGCGTGTGTATAGAATTACGAGAAACCTGATAGTGGGGTTTGGCCAGTTTTCTAGCGGCTTCAGTATCGCATTGCTTTCAAAAAAGTAGCCCAAATTTTGTATTCGTGATAAAAATTCAACAACCGACCTCAAGATGTAAAATGCGTAAGCCTCGTTGTAAAAAAAACAAATTCCTTCAAATTTTGTGATGGCCCCAAAAAAAAGATAAATTTAGTTTATAAATTTAGTTTATAAATTTAGTTTTGAACTTTAAAATCTGACGTCATATTTACATGTAGTGACCTTCAACACCTCAGGTAATCATATTTCATAGACCCAGGCTCCATATAAAAAAACTTTTTTCTAGTTGCCAGATTTAATCTACATAGCACTTGCAGAACATAATTAGACATTAGAATCACATCAGTCTCATTCCCTCACTCAAACATAATGTCAATGTATATTTGCCACATACAGCATTGACTCAAAGATCCCCATATAGCCCTAACAGCACAGACACACACAATACAAAGATATCTGTTAGCGAGCACCTACGAAGGCAGACCTGACACGAGGGGGGGGCGAGTGGCCTCCACCATGCCCGGTCGCATTTACCTCCCAAGTGGCGATGTTTACACACTGCACCAGGTACTCATTTGAGGTTGAGTCGACCTAGGGGAGGCCCCGAACTGGTATAGATAATCGTAACTGGTCTTGGAAGTCAGTGGGAATCAAACTCGGGTGGCCGGTTCACTAACTGCAGCGCTACCGCTCCCCACCTACACACACACAGCTACACACACACAGCTACGCACCTACACACACGCAGCTACGCACCTACACGCACAGCTACGCACCTACACACACGCACAGCTACGCACCTACACAACAACAACCGCCATTCACCACTAAGTGGCGGTGATGTCACCACGACGCTTGTGCCAGGCCATGTGCACCTTGAGGCCACGTGAAGTGTCGAACGCCCGCTGGCAGGAGGTCACGGGGCAGACCCAGGTGCCACGGGTCGACTCGCTGAGATGACTGGCTGATGCACCACCTGTGCCCCCTACTGTGCCAACCTGCTGTGCTTTAGCCACCCGGCGCTCGGCTCGTTGTTGTGAGCGTCGCTCCTTCCGCCCTCCGTTTGTTGTTGGAGGGCGACTGCCTCCAATTGCCCAGTAGCGTCCTTCACGAGCCTCCTCCACAGAGGCCGATCTTGACACCCGCTGTACCAGTCATCGGCAAGTCCACTCAGCTCCACCTCCTCCTGTACCACATCACTCCATCTCTTCTCTAGCCCGTGCCGCGCCCGTTTAGCCCCCTCGATCCGGCCGAACAAAAGCTGTTTCGGCATGCGGTTGACTGGGCATGCAGGCTACATGACCCAGCCAACGCAGCCTTTGCCTGCCGGAGGAGCTCACCGATGGGACCTTGCCCAGATCTTTCAAGGATTTGTGAGCTCCTCACACAATCCAGCCTGGTTAAACCCAGGATGGATCGTAGGCAGGCTAGCCTAAATGTTTTCTAACGGCGAAGATGTTCCATTAGGGGGGTCCACGTTCGCAAGCATAGAGAAGGGAGGGAATGACCGTGGCCGAGAAGACCTGAAGCTTAGTGCGGAGCGACAGACCAGGTTGCTTCCACACAGCGTTACGCAACCGATGAAAATATATTGCCGCTCGACTGATTCGGAGTGACGCCTCTGCTGTTAAACTGGAGCCGGTCATAAGCACACTGCCCAGGTATGGGAAACTCTCCACTCTCTCCACAACTGCCCCATCACCGATTGGGAGTTGTGGGGTGGAGTGTCCGATGGTACAAAATACCCAGGCAGGTGCTTCGTTTTGGTGGGGCTGATGGTAAGGCCCCATCTCTTAGTGGCACGCTCCAGTCCCCAGCAGCAGCGTCTCCAACTCCCTCCTCTGAATGAGCAGCTATTACCAAATCATCAGCATACATAACGTGGTTGAGCAATAGGGAGCCATCCCTTGACCGCACCCGGGCATCGATCAGCCTCCCATTATATCTGTACCAAATGGAGATTCCCCCGGTACAGCTATTGAAGGCTTCCCGAACTACGTGGTCAAAATAGATGTTAAATAATGTGTAGCTGTGTGTAGGTGCGTAAATATTTATTATTTACGCACCTACACACAGCTACGCACACACACACAGTTACGCACCTACACACACGCACAGCTACGCACTTACACACAGCTACACACATGCACCTTGTGCGTGTGCGCGCTTTATTGGCTATTTACCTCTTGGGCATGGCCGGGCGTGGCCGTCACAATTTATTTACGTGGCGTGGGCCAAAGCGGCTTTAACGAGGAGATCGATGGCCAGAGCTGGGACGGGGGGGGGGGGGGTCAAGCGGCACGGCCTGATGACCAACACGTGTGAGCTGTTTACACGAGCGGCGCGGGGGGGACGATGGTAGAGGGGGTCTGGAGGCTGTCGAGTGCGTGCCGCGATTCTGATTCGCCACGCAGAGCCGGCCCCGTAACGTCCGCACGTTTTTCTCGTCAGAAAATGTTCCGCCACGCACCGCACACGCAAAAATACCCACTGCGAACAATCTCGAGTTACACCGCATTTGTGTCCATAATCGCACGGGCCCAGTAGGCCTCCTGGTAGGGTAGAACCCAAAAAAATATATTTTTAAGGGAGGAGATAGAGCGAAATGTTTAATAGTAAGTTCTGCCAGTCTCTCAGGGCACCTCGGACTAGCTGCCCTCCTTCGGCT